AATTCACCGCGCCATAGGCTCCTGAATGGCAAATTGAAAAACTCACGCCAGGCAACTTCGACAACTTCAGAATCAAAGGCTCCACCCAAAGTCTACTGGTCACAGGGTTTTCGATGAGGAAGAAACGACCAGCATTGGACTGTTTGATACACCAATCCACGATCTTCTTCAGCAGCTTTCTGGCCTTGGCACGGCGCATCAAAAGAAGGATTTTGCGTCTGATGTAGTTGACATTGTCCTGAAGCAGACACCAGTCTGTGCAATCAATGCCCTGAACAAGAAACAGTGGCCTGTAAAAGTCCAACAGGTGATCCACGTGGGCCTGGTGTTCTGCCTTGCTCAGGTCATAGCCTGTGTTGAAGTCAATTGGCCCCAGAGCTTTAAGTCCATAGCTCTTGGCACGGAAGGAAAGTCCAGCCCTTCCTGCAAAGGTCTCAAGCAAATCCACACGAGACCGATGCTTGTGCCGTTGAAGAGGGTTTGGATTTGAACTTGAGGTGGAAGTCAAAACCTCATGTTCAAGCTGGGCCAAATTCACAAGCTGTCGCACTGAATGACGCAAAGTCTTCCGGTCAAGGTTGGAAATCAAAGCTGCATGTGGTGGAGGCTTCAACTTGAAAACTGTTTTGCCAGTCCATGCACTTTTCATTTGGAATGCCCCGGAACTGTCACCCCATTCATAGTTGAGTGATTGGTTCCTGCCATCCTCATACTGCATCTCAACAACGCACTCCGGGCATAGTTGATGGAGGTGAATTGGGCATGGATCTGGCACTTCATAAAAATCAGCCTCACAAAACAACATCTTCCTGGGAACGTGGTGAACTCGAGTGACATATTGAGAGTCCACCTGCCACTCATCGCTCAAGCAAAGTCCTCGGGCGTCATGTTCACGTCCCAGCCATGAAAGCCGTCCTGGCCTCCGTCTGAACTCGGTGGGTATGCCTCCGAGTCGTAAGGAATCTCCGACTCCATCTCTGGCAAAAAGACCTGCAGGGCTTCCACCGGTCGGTGGTCGGTGGCATGGGCTTTCGGCTTCGCTCTGGCTTTCGAAGATGTCCCTTTCTTGCCACTCCTGCCCTGGCCCTTGGTTGGCATGTCCATGATTGGCAGGATGGTGGATGAGGAGGGAGGCGGCAAGTGCGAAGAAGGTTGCAACTGAGGACTTCCATGAACCACCCAACCTTCTCTTTCCGGATCCCACTTGTACCGCTGGTGGCACCTCTTGCACTTGCTGAAGGACCCGTGCACGTTGCCGTATCGATGAAAGGCTGGATGAAGGCAAGTTGCAGGATTGACCACCTTCATCTTTGGCGCCAGCTCCTTCTTCTGCCTTTCCAGTTCCTGTTGGTGCTCCCATGTGGTCATCCACTGTCGTGGCATCAGGCCGAATTTCACCAGCGTGGACATGGCCTTGTAGGCCCGAAAATACAACATCATCACTTTGATCACCACATTCTCCCATCGAAAGGAAGCTTCTGAGCGCCCTGCACGAAGCATTGCCGAGCGATCCGATCTGTTGGGGTGGCTGATCTCGAATTGAGCCCTTGTTGAGGATTCCGGGCGCGCATAGTAGCTCAGGATCCGGATCATGCCAAAGATCAAGATTTGACAGCTTTTTCCAACATGACATCTTTGAAACTCCATCTGAAAAATGAACAATGCTGACAGCAAGATGCCCGTGACGACTAGTGAGTGGCATGCTCAACCCCAAATTGGTAAATGTCAAAGTCATGGTATGCATATCGATGACACATCCAAGTCGTTGCAAAAGAGTGCGACTTGCCAAAAAAGGAATACCAGTCTTCAAAACACTTGCACCGAAGATCACTCCCTGGGATTCCTGGCCTTGCATCGAAGCTGGAAAGTAGGCTCTTGTCGAAGACACCACTGGAGCTCCTGAGCCAAACTGGAAGTGGTCGGTGCAGTCAAACATCTTGACCCGGAGATCGTGGCGATGAAGGATTTCTGAATGGGTCTTCAACCAATGCTCACCACAACATGAATCTGACATGCAGTATCCAAAACCATAAAACCACCGAGGTCAATTGCTTCGGTCACCCATGCTGTCGAAAGATCTGCCCCAAGAACCAAATTGGTGGTGAAGGTGAAATAACTGGATTGGGGATCTACTTCATGGTGTTCTGGGTCATCGTGTTGATGGTCATCATGAGATAGTCCAACCACATAGCTCTTCTTGATGCCTTTGCCCCCAAAGTTGCCAGAAGACTTGGGGGTAGCTACACTCGAACCACCAGTTTGATGCCCTTTTCCATCTCGCTTGCCACCACGCTCAGCTGAAACAGGACAGACACTATCGCCTGCCCAATGTCCCACTTGTCCGCAGGCACTGCATGACGAGGACTTCTTGCGCTCCTCAATGCTTTTGCGGCCAGAAAATTTGCGACCAAGCACTGAAGCCTGCAACTTCTTGGACGTAACTGTGAGAACCTGGGCAAGCTCTGCAATATCATCAGGATTCAAAGCTGCGTCATCGGCATCAGCTTCGTCTCCATCAGCACACTCGGCATTCTCATCTTCTTCTGCAATGGGGCCAAGTTCACTCTCATCCCCAACTGCCTCTTCAAATTCCTCATTGTCGTCAGCAGTCTGGTCACCGTCTGCAAGTTCCGTTTGGAATGCACGCTTTGGATAACCCTTCCCCTTTGAGGATGACTTGCCCGAAAAACTACTTGAAGAGGATCTTTGGGAGGACGCTGAAGTGCTAGTCATGGACCCCGTTGAACTTGATGGTGAACCCTTATTGCTACCCTTGCCACTGTTTCCCCATTGGTTTCCAGGAAAAAACAAGGGAGGGCTCGGCTTGAAATCAGGAAACTGAAGGCACAGGCTCTCATAGATCTTCTCATAGTGAAGGTCATTGCCAGCGCCGATGAGGACTAAGCGCTGAAGCTCAGGAGAGAGTAGGCACCGCTCGAGCACCCGATTGCCACGCGACTCAGCATCGTACATAGCAGATGACTGAATGCCCACATTGTCCAAATCGCGTTCAATCCGTCGATATCTGTTCAGGTATTGGCGCACGGTTTCATGAGCAGTCCGTTTGACAGTCTCGAAGTCACTCAGCAGTTTCCGTTTTTGGAAAAGAATGCGCTGTTGGAGAGGACCGCGCAATTCATCCAAAATGTACTTCACGCCATCTTTGGCGTTCACTTTCTTCAGGTCGAAGTGCTCAGCCTCTGACTCAGCCTCGCCAGTCAAAGAAACATAAAGCGCAAGACCCATCTCACTCGAAGTCACATAGTTCCTGGATTGCATGACCCACGTCTCAACCTTACGCTCGTATTTGCTGAAGGCACGAAGGTCATTCTGCTGGTACTGCCATTTGGGTGGCTGAGGAGGAGTGCCACCGCGCCATCTGACCCCGCGGGCAGGACCACGCGCACTGTTCCAGGAGCTCTCACTATCTGTATCTTTCTTCTTTCGATCATTCAACAATTGTCGCATCACATTCAGCAGTTCGCCATTGGCACTGAGTCTTCCACCAGAGTCCGCTGAACCTCCATGATGAAGAGCTGGTGCAACTGGGGCTTGAACAACTGAAGAGGAACTGGAACCTCTACGACGTCGGCGTCTGTGGGAACCAACATCATCTAGATCAACCACAGGATCAGTCGTAGGCGTCTCTGACTCGGCACGCTCTGCATGGCTTCCAACTGATGGCTCATCAGGAAACTTTGCATGAGCAGCCGCAGGACTTTTCGAAGACTTCACAGGGGATCCTTCCACAGAACCATGTGAAGAACCACCAGAAACTGACCTTGAAGTGGAACGATGAGGCACATACAACCAAGTTCCAGTGGCTGTCTCTAACTTGGCCGGCTCTCCAACGTTAAAGAACTCGCATCCACCACATTGCATGCATCGATACATCCCATCTTCATCAACACTCCAGTCATCAGTTCTACACTTTAGGCACTTGGGCTCGTTGGCAAGCTGGATGCAAAGGAGAAGGATCAACAGGGGCTGGAGCATGTCTGCCAAGCATATATCTTCGTTCTTCAGCTGCGACCTCAGAGGGAGTCCAACTATATGAGGAACCATCATCGGATCCGTCGCCAAAAACGTCAAACATGCCAAGCCCACCATGGCTCCGCGGCCAACTGACCATAACACGTGCCGCTATGTGTTAGGTCGAATGCCACGCAAGGCAAAATGCAAATGAACAACGGGCAAAAAGGCAGCTTCCTTTTTGCTGCAATGGCTTGAGCTCAGGTGATCACTGCGTCGCACGCAGTTCAGTGCAAAACAGGCATGAACATGGGAATGTCAAATCATGTGCTCACAGAATCATGTTGCTGGCAAAAATTCACACAATGATCGAAATTGACTGAAGGTCTCAAGTCCAGCTGATTGCCCACTTACACCCGCTTGCCATCTTGACAGTTGAATCGCCTTGTTGTGCCACTCAGCTACGAAACCACGCGGACATAAGCCTCGGCTTTGAGATGCTTCCACGGTTTCAGTAGACATTTACACAGAGCCCCACAGAGTCCACAGCAGACAGAAGCTGCATCCCGGCAGCATCGAAACTAAGGACCTTGCAAAACAGCAAAAGAAGACCAACAAGCTGCAGAAATGTGAAGCTCCTGCAATCTGCCCACAATTCCCCACATGTTTTTCAAGTGCTTTATAAGCTAACAATTGCAGTTTGTTTGGCTTCTTCCTGTGCCTGCAGTTTCTGCGCTGCGATGCCCCCATTTTCACACACAGTGAAGGTGGCCAAGGCTTGAGCCAAAATCAGCGCACACACCACATTTTTGCATCAACTCTGATGATTTCAATGGAGAATACATCAAATCGTGTCAAATCTATAAATGCTCCATGGGTCCTGCGGTGGCACTCAAAATGTTTTGAAAGTATGAGATCAAATGAGGTTGCTTTCTCGTCTTGAGGCATGAACGAAGCCGCGCAAAGGATAAAACCATCAAGAAACACCTCAAGATAAACATCATAGGTCAGCGGAACAGTATCACCACTTTCGTTCCCGGAATGTAGTGAAGTCGTCACCATGTCGGATTGTAGCCCTTCAAGTGAACCAACTTGCAGATCAATACAAAGCACTACGTTTCATGCAAATTGAAATTGTGTGAGCTACATCCCGCCCCTGTACACAAAAAAAACATTACACCGCTGTAGCTGTACACTTTCGGCAGTATTGCAGTCTCCTTGGAGCATCAGGAGCAACAACTATCTGCAGCTCAAAGTCAAATTGTCAAATCTCATCTCCTGCGCCCGTATGCGCCCGTCACCGCGTGAACGCGAATGCATCGAATGCGTACCAAGTGATGCAAAGTGCTCTTCTCAGCTCACGAATTTGAGCGGTAAACATTTGTAGTAGCGTCCCAACTCAGTGACAGGTTGTTTGAGCATGGTTCAAATTCAAGCGTGTCTCCTGGGCACGCTTCGTCTGCGACTTTGAATGACCTTCGATGGAAGCCGACGGGGCCATGTAACCATGCATGTAGTTGGTAAAGCAAAATGAGCCATGTCTCCTCTTATGAACAGAGTGTGGATCACTCAAAAAAAACTCAATTTACAGAACATGTGTAATTCTATAGTTTCTAAGTAATATGCGTATATATATATATATGTGTGTGTGTGTGTGCGTGTGTGCACATTATATCTATATATATATACACACATTATATCATATCTATATTATGTCTGTGAGTGTAAACACTTGTGAATTATGTGAGTTTTTACAGTACCGCTTGACATAACATTACACTGAGACGCTTGGCATGTTCTTCCCTGTGGCCAAGTAGATAGCTTGGAAGGTTGCCTGAACGACGGCAGTAAACACCTCAGTCATCTGAGTCCAGCAAGTGATGCTTGACACACCTTTTGGTTCTGATGTTCTGAACTGCCACCTTATGGATAAGGTTCTGCCGAGTGGCCCCAAGCAGCTGCGAGTGATGTGACGCCGCCCATCAGTGACCAGTACAAACCCACGCCCAGCGTCCATTCGGTTTCCAGGATGGCTGCATTGACTAAGGGTGTACTTCCACCAACGAAGGCCATGGCCACATTGAAAGACATTCCAAAGCCAAGCGCTCGGAGATTGATGGGGAACAAGTCAGCCACAAAGACAGACAAGTGGGAACTCGCTATGCCAGCTGCAACTCCGTAGCTTCCTAAAACCACAACAGACATCACTCTCAGGTTGTCACTGGTGCTGAGCAAATAGAACAAGGGGAAGCTGACCAATGCCACGCCAATGCTTCCAGCTAGTGTGATGGTGATGGGGTCAATGCGACAACAAACGTCGTTCAGAAACGGCAGCACCAACCAACTTGCCATAGCAATACCTTATTCGCAAACAGTTGCGTGAGATCTGAAAGACAAAATCCAACCAGAACATGTCAAACAACTAACGATCACATGGCGAGATATTGTGTCCCTGCGAAATAGCTGTTGCCCTTGAGCTTCATGCAGGCACGGGCACAAGTGAACAGGCAACTGGCCAGAAGCGCAGAAGTCTGATCTAGACCATTGGATTTCAAGTAGGATGGACACCTCATTCACATGAAAAAACACAGAAACCCAGTGCGGACATATCCGCATCAAACAACACATCACACACTTGCTCAGAAACATCATTGCGAATTTTGTTGTGGAATGCATCGTTCGTGCACAAAACAATCCATAAAAAACTGACAGGAAATAATGAATGACCAGGCGTGAGAGACAGTGGAGAAGAATTCTTTCTACGTCCTTGCTAGATGCAACTGTTCCATCTGACGAATTCGGCAGTAATTCAGATTGCGAAAACCGTACAGTGGTTTGAAAACAGTTGGAAACTAAGTTCTGAGGAAGGTTCTGATGCAACTGAAAAACGGCTTGGTGGTTCTTGGGTTAGCCACGTCCCATAACGAAGAAATGAAGCAGGTACGTGGAGTTGATCAGACTCCATATCCTAGTCAACTGCATGGAGCTTCGTTGGCGACAGCCATGCAGCGACCCTGTCGCCCCCTGCATGAAAAAATGAAATTCATGAACCAAAACAAAACCACTCAAATACCGAGGAGAAGTTTTACATCTGTACAGATGGTCCACACACACGCCCCGCTGCCGCGAGGCTTTTCTCTGGAGATCACTAGCGGTGAAAAGGCTATTATCCGTTCCCTGAAGCGGAAATGGCTTCAAAACACAGGGAAAGAAGTCGGTCAGCTGCTGAATTAGTCCTACCGCTCACAAGGCCTCGTCAGAGAATGCCTCCATGCGACTGGCTTGTTCTGACAGCATACGGGTAGATTCTGCCAGATGACTGGCAAGATGAGCCAAGTCTCCCGCCGAGAAGATCTGAACCGGATGTCTTGAGAGGTCATCATCTGGATCCTCGAGACGTTCGAGTATTGCCATGTTGGCATCCCTGTCATTGTTGAGAATGTTCCAGAAGAAGGTTGCCAGTTGTTGAATCTGGACAGGTGGTGGAGTAATGTCCACATTGGCGATGATGGAGTCGGTGTCATCCAT